ATCGCCTTATTTGTCAAGCACAGCATCAATTCCAATTTTATGGATCTTCTCCATGCCCCTCCTTACCTTTCTTCCATTCAAAACTACCTAAAACCCAAACAAAATAAAGTAATCTAACTTAAATTTCCATTTCACAGCTGTGTCTCTGTTCTGCTCCTACCTGTCTGATCCCTATGAATGGATCAGCAGACAGGTATGGAGATGCCGGGATGAAGATTGAGTAGATATGTAGAAGGGATTCCAGAAGGAACACCTGCTCTATATCCTCTGATATAATTTACCACAGATGACAGAATCCTGAAATTTTGCATTAAACACCTTATGTTTATCATTTGTGAAACAGTCACTGCCCAGATTTTATTCCAACTTTCTTTCTTTTTACATACATATGCATACCAACTGTAGAGTCATGAATATTCAGTGATATGCAAGTGTAACAGTGCTGATCCAAGCACTGCACTAAAGGAACATAAGGCCTCTTAACTTCTTATTAGAAATACGTATTAGATGAGAATAGTAAAATCTGTCCTAAATGCCTAGCTAAGTCATAATTAACCCCTGTCCCCATCTGTACCAAAAGAAGGACTGTATGCAAAAACAATGTTGTTACAGACTGTATATGATACGCTAGAGCTAATACAGTTCTGCATCAATAAAAAGACAAGCCTGTTCACTGTAAGTTTTAAGTTTTGGCCTTATTCTATACAGCACAACTTATGAAAAATTGTATCTAATTATAATCAAGATCTCTCAACTGGTGTAAGGATAAAGAACAGTACTTTACCTGACATATATCTCAATTTATAGGTGCGTGTTCTATAGAAACATAAGGTGATGTAATTTTTAAAAGATACAACTGCTGTTTCCCGTTTTCCTTCTACTGTGTACTGTGTCCTTCTCTTACAGACTAGCACCAGCACTCATTTGACCCTCTCTTGAACTGTTCTTTCATGCTAAACTGGCAAAAAAACCACCTGTTTTAATTTATTTTTCTGCAGATGTAGTACACATATGGACTACCACAGAATCAGGTAAGATACATGCAGTACCAGTAAGAAGAGCAACAGGGTGAATAAAGACAGGTAATCATGAAACCAGCTGCCTTTAATCTCAGTATCATACTCTTACACCCACCACCAGCCAACAGCAAGATAGGAAACTAAACTTTATGATCCTTGTGGGTCCCTTCCAACTCAGAATATTCTGTGATTCTCTGAACACCGAGACAGTGGTGATAAGGACTGGTAGAGACAGAAATTTTAGAGACATTGTTCCCAGGCAGCTACTGACACAAACATAATGAATATTAGCAGTGTTCAATTCAACTTCTTCCTAAAGGCCGAAAATCTCCACAGGCCACCCCTGGCAGAGAAAGTAGGAAGTGCCCAGACCCAGTCAGAATCAACCTTGAATCAAGAGTTGTTCCAGTCGAAATTCCCTTCTCTTCCCAAATTGTGTATTTGTCCTCTTTTTCATCTCAAAATTTTTTCTCTCTTCTCATTTGCACCTTTTCTTAGTCTGAAAAATCTGAATTTAGTTTCCTTTTGAAAACAGTCTGAAATAACCTCAGACTTCCAAATTTCTTGTATTCCACCTCCAAACCAAAAAAAAACCAACAACTTACCACCATCTCTGAGAGAGGTATGTTACAAATAGACAGCATCCTTCCTGTTTTCCTTCTCCTGAAGATTTTTGTAAAGCTTAGATGTAAACTGACAATGCTTGTAGATGTAGATCAGCTGCATGGCTGCAGGAACCATTTAGCTCATCCAGGAAGCTACAGGACAAAGAGCCTGCTACCTTCTCTGTTTGCAAGCACAATCTGACAAATGAGACTGCAGTTTTTAGCACAACATATTGGCCCTTTTAAATTTTTTTTTCATTTGCTGCTTTTAACTTCACATAGAGTGCTGTAGAGTAGCTGGTGTTGAGACCAGGCTAGTTAGTTAAAAGGAAAGTCACACCCCTTCTCTGCCTCCTGGTCTATGTGAAAAAGTATATATTGTATTAGGTGTCAAAAGGAAAAAAACTAACCCTATCTTCACCCCCTCTCCATCCAGTAAAACACCAAACCAAACCAAAAACCCCAACAAAAACCCTGAAACAGCATAAGCAGCCTGCTTGAAAAGATGATCCTGAAGTAATCTGCTGCTGCAGTCCTAGAGATGTAACAAGGCGTAGGGTCTATCATCATTAACTGCAGCAGCAATACAGTGAGTGAAGTCTATTTCCATTTTAAGTCATAAGCAACTTATTATCATTTAGGTTGAAAATTTAAATTCACTCTCTACATGCTCTAAAAAACTGCATGAATTCAGATGTTTTTCCTGTAAAATTAACATTTGGAAAGCAGAACTTCCTACGGAGAAATTTACATTAGCATATTCCAATGAAAGACTGATTTTAATTGACAAAATTATTATCTTTTAATTGCACACATTGTATACAAGTGCAAATATATCCTTTTCACATTTTGTATCTTACAAGTTGTTCAGCTCTGTATATACTAAACAAATGTATCAGGCTAATATACTTGTAGAGATTTAAGTGTATTTATGATGTGAAGGATCAATACAGACTTTAAAATATTTATTGAGATTTAAAGAAAAATATGCCACTCTCAAAGCTTGCTGGCAAAGCAGTCTTTTATTTGCAGTCATTCTACAGTAGTATAGTGCAGTTTTCCTCTAAAAATTTCCTAACTCTGCCTGTTGCTGGTGGGTTGCCCAAATACTGCTTGTGTATTTACTGCAAGCTAAGAAGACAAAATAAAAATAAAAACGAAAAGAGATGACATTGGAGTTGACTGTTACTCCCTCCATTTAATTTTTTCATGTATGTGATAATAGGGGCAAGTAGGAAGGGATCAGTGTGTTTACTGTCAACTTATGAAGTCCAAGCCCTGCCTGCTCAAGCAGGGCTGTCTGGAGCAATTTGTACAGGACCATGTCCAGACAGTTTTTGAGTATCTTGAAGGAGGGGGATTCTACAATCTCCCTGGACAACTAGGGCTTGGTCACCCTCACAGTGAAAAACTGTTTCCTTATGATCAGGCAGAGCTTCCTGCATTTTGGCAAGTGCCTGCTGCCTCTGGTCATGTCACTGCCTGGGTCTGTCCTCTTTGCACCCTCTTTTCAGGTACTTATATAGATGAAGAAGATCCTGCCAAGCTTTTGTTTCTCCAGGCTGGACAGTTCCAGCACTCTCAGCCTTTCCTCACAGAAGTCCTGCCCCAGTTCCTTAATCAACCTTGTGGCCCTCTGTTGGACTCTCCAGGCCTCGCCTATACCAGGAAGCACAGAACAAAGTACTCCAGATGTGGCCTCACCACTGCTGAGGAGAGTGACAGGATTTTCAACCACCTCCCTTGATCTGCTGGCAACACTCCTTCTTATGCAGTCAAGGATACCATCAGCCTTCTATGCCACAGGGGCACACTGCTGGCTCATTCTGAACTTGGTGTCCACTAGGACCCCCAGGGACTTTTCTCCAAAGCTACTTCCCAGATGCTTGCCACCCAGTAGACACCAGGGCATAGAGCTAACCTTCCCCAGGTGCAGGAAGTCATTCTTCACATTTTTTTGTCATCAGCAAATTTGCTGAGAGTACACTTTACCCCACCATCTAGATCATTAATGAAGACGTTGAACAGGATTGAACTCAGTACCCAGAACCCTGGAGTACACTAGTTACTAGCCTCCAATTAGACTTCACATCACAGATCACCATCCTCCTTCTCCATCTCTTCTGCAAGTTTTATGTTGACCTTCACTGTTTGCTCACCCAGCCCACACTTCAGCAGCTTCTCCATGAGGATGTCACAGGAGACACTGCTGAAAACCTTACTGAAACAAGTATCTACTGCACTCCACTTGTCTACTAGGCCAGTCATTTCATAGTAGAACATTACCAGGTTAGTCAAGAATGGCTTCCCCTGGGTAAAGCTATGCTGGTTACTCCAGGTCACTTTCTTGTCTTTAATGTGTTTTAAAATGGTTTCCAGGATTAGCTGCTCCATCACCTTCCATCCTTCTGGGGTATTAAGGTGAAGCTGATCAGCCTGTAGTTCCCAGAGTACTCCTTGCCCTTCTGAAGACAGAAGCAACAGCACAATCTGACTAATGAGACTGCAGCTTTTCAGCACAACACACCGGCCTTTTAAAAATTTTTCCTCTAGTCTACAGGCATTTCTTCCAGTCTCCATGATCAACCAAATATTATCAAGAGTATCAGTGATATCAGCCAGCTCCCCCAGCACTCCATCATGCCCAGAACCTTATCTATGTCCAGTTTACTCAAGTATTCTCTGACCTAAATCTGTTCCATCAAGTGTACATCTTCCCTGCTCCGGACTCCTCCCTGCATTCTACAATTCCTGAAGGTCTTTGCTAGTATAGACAGAAACAAAGAAGGCCTTTAGTACCCCTCAGCCTTTTCCACATTCTGTGTTCATCAGAGCCCCTGTCCCATTCAGCCATGAGACCACATTTTCCATAGTCCTCCTGCTACTGATGTATTTACAGAAGCACTTCTTGTTGTCTTTGACATCCCTCACCAGATTCAACTCCAGGCAGACTTTGACTTTCCTAAGCATATCCGGAATGAATAAGAAATATATTACACTAGTTTCTGTCAGGGACCATACAGCTTAAAGGAAACATTGCTGAACTGCCACAAACATGATGAACTTCTTTGCTGAAAAAGTTATTACCTAGAGAGTCTTAAAAATACCCTCTCTGCCCATAAATTGTTAAAGTTTTCAGAAGCCAGGTATCAAAAATCATGTAATATATCTTACTCTTCAGTTAGATATTATTCCAGAACAAATTTATTGTTAATACATGAAGAACCTTTCTTATCAAATACACTGCTATCTTTTAATTTAAAAACTTATTCATATTTTTCTTATTATTATCATCTTATTTTTATTAGTATTATTATAGGAGCACACCATGCTTGCAAACTAATTTAATGAAATTGTATTTATGTCTAAAACTTACCAGTTAGTGTTAGCTGGACACAATTTATTTGGGTTTTGTTTTTTTTTTTAATCTTCCCAATTCCTGTTTTCACTGAATAAATGTAGAAATTGCAAGTGCAACAGTGCTGTAGGATTTTTTTAAATTTTTTTAACAGTAGGCCATTATAACCATATTAGAAATAAACCATATGCGTAATAAGGTACATTAATTATAATCTCAAATTGTTGACTGATTTTGTCTACTGTTCAATTTACTGCTAGTCTTCCTTCAGACAGCTGTCCATCTTTCTTTCCCTCTACTTTCTCTGAACCTCGTGGCTTTGAAACTACTTTCATATGTTTCAAAAAAGACATTCCCACTCTCTCACATTTTGAACATGTAATTAAATGGGGTTTTTCCCCCTAAAGACCATGTGCTTCATTACTATATCCAGATATATGTTAGCACTGGATTCAGACATCACTCCCTACACCTTGACGATTTATATATTGAAGAGTCACTTATTTTACAATATATTTTTGGTATTGATAATATATAGCCATAAACCTGTTTCCTTCCCAAATACTCCCTGGGTAGTGGTCTTTGGTGATTTTCAGGATTTTCTCTTTAGAAGACTATAAAAGATTGTTAAACAGAGATACATCTCTTTCCTGACTTAAATCACAACATTTGATGTCAAAGCCCAAATGAAGGTCGTTGGATTATTAAGCGCCAAAAACTACCTGAGTATAGGAATTACCTTTCCTACTCTGTTCTACGGAGGGTTCAATCAAGTCTTTATATACTATTAATACTTGCTTGCAAGTTTTAGTTGAATTTAATTTTGTCCATTACAGGAACATTTACTTCCTACATGTCCTGGATCACGCTAAGTATCAAAACCTTTCTCTGAGTCACTACATTTTCTAATGAAATTATACCTACAGTCTTGGGATGGGGAAATAATAGAAGAATCTAAAAGGAGAAAAACATCCAGAGCTGTCAAACAAATAAAAAATTTCCCTCCCAAATCTAAACATCCTCCTGCACAAAACAGACATTGCATATATCAAGCCTAATCCTTAATAATCTACCAACATGAACTGAGGCATACCATACCAGCTACTTGACAGCCTTTTAATAAGTGAGTAGATCCATAATGCATCTGAAGGCCCATTACCTAAGAAATTAAATTTTTTTAAAAATAGATTCAGAAGATGAAATTTTATATTTGTACTGCTATACTCAGAGTTCTAAGGGTAGCTCACTTAAGCATGAGCCAATTCAGATATAAATAACTTTGCTACTATTACTTTACAGTTTTTAACATTTCTAACAAAAGTAAAAGATATTTTTACACTCATAAAGAGTTTGTTTACTTAATTATACCAACATTAATGGGAATGGATTTTCTTCACTTGCTGAAAAAGACGACCTCAACAAATAAAAACCCACGAGTTTTAACTAAGGTAGATCTAGAAACTAAAAGGACTTAGAGGTAAAAGGCTAACCAAAGGGTTATTTCAGTTGCTGTGGTCCCAGATTAATGAAATTTCACAATGCTCTGTACTCAATAAAAACATACTCAATTCTTACCTTAAAAACTGCAAATATATATGCATAAGACCAGGGTTTTAACAACATTGATATACACACAAACTCTCACTTCTAAAAAGTCCTCAATACCCCACCTCTTTCAGCCTCCCTCAATACAATCCAGAATGGTAGGCAAGAAAGAGGACATAATATAACATCCTTGCAAAACATTCATAGTGAAGAGACTGAAACGTATTCCACTTTCCAATCCACAGACTGTCAATAACTTAATGATACAGAGAACACTTATAAGCATCAGGGTAATTAGAAGTGTAAATCATAGAACCATAAAGGTTGGAAGAGACCTTTAAGACCATCAAATCCAACCATCAACCCAGCACTGCCACTATCCCTAAACCACATCACCCAGTGCCAGATCCAGACACCTCTTAAACACTTTCAGGGATGGTGACCACCACCTCCCTGGGTAGCCCTATTCCAATACCTGACCACCCTAAGAATGCAAAACTTTTTTTCTAATATCTAATCTGAATCTCCCCTGTCTCAGCTTGAGAACATTTCCTCTTGTCCTCTCACTGTAGACACGGTAGGTAAGGCCGGCCTCCACCTCACTACAGCCTCATTTCAGGTGGTTGTGGAGAGCAGTGAGGTCCCCCTTGAGCCTCTTCTTGAGACTAAACAAACCCAGCTCCCTCAGCTGTTCCTTATAAGACACGTTTCCAGACCTTTCATAAGACTTGTTGCCCTTTGCTGGACACACTCTAGCACTTCAATGTCCTTTTTGCAGTGAGGGGCCCCCAACCGAACACAGTACTAGAGGTGTGGCCTCACCAGTGTCGAGTTTAGGGGCATGAAATGCATAAGCTATTAAAATTTTAAGACTTTTAAAAACAAAACATAATGCTGCTTTCTGAAGCATGTTTGCACAGGCAGATATAAACTTCTGACAATTGTCAGCAATAAAAATACCATCTGATTCACCCAGAAGAAGACAAATTATTTAAAAAACATTACTGTAACGTATAGGATAGCAAAATATTGGAGATTTTTTTTTTTCCTACAGAAAACTGAACTAGTTTACTCATGGTGTAATCTCTCACGTACACCACTGGCTCTTCTCCATGTACATCACCACAGACACAAGTGTTGAACTATTCTCTCCAAAGAAAGGGTTTCTGGAAAATACAACTTTTTAACTCCAAAGAAGTATTCTTACTAGCAACCAATGCTAGAGCACTAGCAACCAAAGTAGGTGTTCCAATAACTGACATGATCATCTATTTCTGTAGTAAATTCCAGAAAAACTAAAATATAAGTGTTAAATCCCTCCAATACTCTTGATTATGTGCCCTACTGGTCTATTCAATTTCTACCAAAAATTAAAAATGAAAAAAAACCAAACCTTTTAATGAGTTAACTTATACATGTTACAGGTATGAATTTAACTTCACAGCAAGTAACTGAAATGGATGACTTCATGTAGCATGAACAAACAAAAAATAAAAATCAGATGTGAATTTTTAATCCCCTTAACAGTTTATCTGCTACTCCAGTTAAGGTACCAGCAATGAAACTTTCAGCTGTTCTCCTACTAATCACTTTATTAGAAAACTAGTGATGGTGGACATCCAGAAACTGAAAAACAAGCTGCTGATGAATAGAAACGAAAGCAGAAAGATGAAAAAGAATCTGTAGAAGAAAGTACTAATAAAACATATCTTCATAAAGACTAAAAATAGTATTAGTCTTATAGACAAATAGCTCTCAACTCCTAGTCTAATATTGCAACTGTTGTTGAACTACACGTTAATAACAGCTCAAAAAAGTTTGACAAGAATTCACTAACTTCCAGTAAAATCAAATGGCAAAATATTTTGGAGTCAGATTTTACTACAAATTGGCCAGACAGTCTTTGACCTTAGTGAACACCTCCCTCCCACTGACAGGCGAAGATCACACAAAAAGCATACAGTGCTATGGTTTCTAGTATGGACAATGTCATAAGCAGAATTCAGCCCTCTGTCAAAACACACTGGCCATTCAGAATAAATCCACCTTCATTTTGTGGAAAACCAACGGTCTGTTACTTACAAGCTACACAAAACTGGATAAACAGAAAGTGGAAAGGTGCCACCCTCACCTTTAGCAGGCTTCCTACAGGAAACCTTGTCACCTATAACACGCAGTGATAGGAAAGAACCTTGGAGATTATAAACGCTTCACTCTCTCAACTGACATCAGAATAACAACTCAGACGAAAACACTCCTCTGACAAGATATTATACCTTCTCCTCTCTATGGAGCTTGTCCCCAGGTTCCGTCCTCTCTTCCCGCACGCCCGGGCCTAGCCAGAACCCTCGCCATCCCTCTGCTGCACCAGGAGCCGGAGCGCCAGCGGGACTCCCGGCAGGGAGGCGCACGGGGAGGGCAGGAGGCTGAACACAAGTTCCTACAGGTAGGCCCTGGAGCAGAGCCGGAGACTGACCCAGAGGGGCTGACCGCTCGGCACTGCCCCGGCCTGCCGGGCCGCGGGAGGAGCCTGACCGGGATCCGCCAAAGGCCGCGGCCACCGCCCAGCGCAGCCCCTCCGGCTCGTCCCGCCCCGCGCCCCGACTGACCTGCGCCGCCGCCGGGCTCTGCCTCTAGCCTGCCGGCGAAGCTCTGCGCGGACGGGGCCGCCCTGGGCAGTCTCCGCTCAGCCGCCCCGGCGCGGGGCAGAGGCCTCTCCCGGGCGGCGGTTCGGCCGCAGTGACCGCGGTGCCGCCCGCGCGGCTGCGCAGGAAGCGCTCGGAGACACCGGGACGGCGCGCGACAGGGGCTTCCCGCACGGCGGCCGTGCCGGGGCGGGGCGCGCGCCTGCCTGACTGACAGGCCGAGGAGCAAATCAGCGGCTCGGGGGAGAACAAACAGCCAATGGGAGCGGTAGGGGCGGGACGGCTCCAAGGCCGAGCGGGGCCGCCGGGCAGCTGGAGTGTCCGCGTGATGCGGGGCCTGCGGTGCCGGGTCAGGCGTCCCGGGGGAACCCGAGCTGCGGTTCCGCTGTCTGCAGTTCGGCGAGCGCCAGCAGGGGCTCCTGGTCGCCCACGGGGCCGTGGAGAGGCTCCGGCTCGGGGTGGGGTGGTCACCGGAAGTGGTGCGGGGAAGGCGAGGTCGAGCCGCTTGGAGCCGGGGCCAGCCCGAGGCACAGCCCGTGGGCGGCGAGGGGCCTGTGGAGGATTTACTGGCGGGAATCACAGGGCTGTGAGAGTAGATACTGAGCTGACTCTGGAGGAAATGTGGCAACGTCCTAAAAATACTGCGGGCGGGTATTTCCCCATCAGTAACACGCCAGCACCGTTGGTTGCGTGGCTGCTCGCTTTGTAACTGGCGTCAGTGTAAGCCAGGTTCTCCTGCTGAGAACGGGTTGAAAGTGTTTTGGGTGACTCGGAGCTATTATTTGGATGAATTGTACACCTTGGGGAAAACTGCATTGAAAAGTTGGCTATTAACAGTTCTAGAAAGCAAATTAAAGGGAACTCTATGAACAGGTTGATAGGAATTGACAATATTTATTAAACGTAGGGATTAAAAGATATTCAAATAGAGGTTTATTTATTTCCAAACTGTAACTATATTTAGTTGTGACATATTCACGAGCACAGATTCACAGGTGACTTTAAGAGTCACAGTTCCTCAGATACCTGGCTGAGGTTATCTGTGCTGAGGAGACTGGGAGCCCATAGGCATATGTTGATGGATTCTGTACTGGTTTTTTCTAACTCACAGACGAGAAATTAGATGGCGCTCTGGACTACTTGAGGTGCCCCAAAACGAAGTATAGGCCTTTATGAATATCAAGATCTTGAAAAAACACTTTTGCTCAGGATTTACATGTAATTTTTCATAATGTTAAAGCAAGACAGATGCCTAACTTTGTCAACAATGAGTGATTCCTCTTTTAGAAGACCTGTTTGAAGTGAATAAGGCTAATTCACTTGGCTGATTTCACAAAATGGGGATCAGGTCTTTTCTGTGAAAAATACATTTTAAGCAAAATCTTTTGAGCTAGGAAGGCACTTCAGTTTCACAAAAAGATGTTGCAGTGGAAAGCTTATGACCACTAATGAAGGAAAAACAATCACCCTCAAATGTTTAGGTAGTCTACTATATACACCAAGGTATCTGGGGTAATTTTTGCTTTGTTTTTAAAACAAAACCATGTAATGATTTATTTCTGCAGAGGAGTAATTAATTGAACCATGATATTAATTTATTATCATTTATTTATCATTGTGTATTTGAATTAGCAACAAAAACACTTCCTTGTACAGGACACTGGAGAGCTTATCAGCATCTAAAATCTTCTGAAGTGGGACCCTATGTTATGTGGGCATAGCAGAGAAAGGCAATAGAGAAGCTCAAGAGTAAAGCAATGTACTATTTCTTGGTGGGCTGATATTGTGACTGTCTCTGGGAGCTGTGATTTCTAGGTGGAAGCTTGCCTCTGTTTTGACTTGACACTGCAGGTGCAGCTGACTGTCTGTGTCTCGTGAGGTCTCTGAACAAAAGTTGCAATGCTAAGTTGTCAGTGTTTGGAACACTTGCAGACCCTGTAACAGGAAGTGTAATAGGGCAGTGCTGAACAAGTCTCACATACAGAATAAGAGTTTTGACATGAGTTCTGGAAGATGACTTTCAGAATAGTTCATGAGTAAGTCTTGATGAAGCCATTTTTCCTCATTTATTCTAGTTCCTGAAAGAAACAGCAAACAAATAGGAGTATTTAATATTTGAATTTTGTCCTCATTTTTTCATTTCTGTACTCATCTGACACATTTCTTCCTGCTGTTCCTTCTGCTCTGTTCATATGGAGATCATCTGGCCCTCATGCTGGTGAGAACTCTCTCTCTCCTCCAGGATTCAGTGTGGATGAAGACTGCAAATTCATTGCCAAACAGATCGGTTTCACAGACTTATCGTTTTCTAAACTGGAAAAGAGCATGCTTGCTTAAACTCCTCCAGTGATTAAAAAGGGAATTTTCAGATATGCTGAATGAAACTGAGAGTAAACTGAAGTTACCTTTCTCTTTGAAAAACTTTAAACACCCTTTACAACCTGCAAGCAGTACTTGAATTGTTGTGCTTTGCTGGTGATTCAATAATCAAAATGTTATTTGTAGTGTCTTTGTAGCAGGCTGCACGGATTAGGAATTCAGTCACTGCTATTAATATTCTTCCTGAAGTGGAAAACCACAACTAAGGGACTGAAATATGAAGAAAGAGTGGGGGATGGAAGAAAAATGAAAAGCTGCAGCATACCTTTGTCCAAGGTTTTCATTTGTGTCTAACCTTCTCTGTCATTTCTATCCTTCTAATTCTTTCAGGATATGATAGAAAAATGTCCTCTTTGACTACAGAAAAGCACTCTCAAATTTCTGTGCCACTACTTGAAACATGGTGATGCTTTTAATGCAGACATTTTCTGTGGCCTTAACTGCTCACAGGTCTGTACCAAAACCAAAGTAGCCACTGTGAATAGCTAGTAAGTACTGTTCATAAACATTTTTATAATGTTTGACCTTAAGAGTGACCTGAAGATTAATGGATATGTTGTATCAGTTTTAATGGGTCTCTTTTCTCTTGGATACACACATGTGACTCCCATTAGTCTTAATGGGAGTTATATGTGTGCCTAGAGGTTAGACAAGATCTCTAAAGGTGCTGTTATGCTCTGTTGTATTAACGATCTCATAATTGCTGAGGTGCTGCACCTTTGCATTGAAAGCAAACTAATTAAATTGGTCTAGTATAAGTTGGTATACTAACATACCCAGCACGTATGTGTGTTTTCCTGTGAGTCTCTCAGTACACAGAGATACAGGCCAAATCAAATGTGGAATTCAAATTTTATGTGTGACTTGACTTCCTTTGTAATTGTTCTTTGTAATTCAAAATGATTTCATGAGTTTGATTCCTAAGAAAGATGATTGTTCGTGTGAGTACAGGGGAAGGAGCTGAATGTGGTGTTTTATTTTATCATTAAAGGATGTAGTGAGAAAAGACTGAATTGATTCTTATTTTGATGTTGCAAATCATGCACTTTGAAAAAAGGCAGTTAAGTCTCAAGGATTAACCTGAAGCTTGATGTTGAATTTTAATTATGGCTTTGTTACTTGTTTCTTCCAAGTGCCTTTAGACTAAGCACTTCACCTTTCTTTGATTTCCAGGTATGTAAAATATCTACTTGCTTCTTAGTGTTGCAGACATAAATTAATATCTGTTCTATACTTTGGAATTTTAAAATTGGTGCATCCACCTGTATTCTGTTGGCATAATCATGACAGCACAGGAGGAGAAAAAATCATAGTATCTACCTGGTACAACTGAGTAGAAGTCCTGGTGATGATGCAGATCTGTCAAGAGAACTGATTCTGTTCCATAGTTTATGATGTATAAGACAGTGCATTGGTAATGAAAAAAATTTGGTATGTTTTTTGATGGAAAAGATTATACAGTAGGCAAATTGACATTGTATAGACATTTGACATTTTTATAGATCAAAATAATAATTAGAATCAGATAGTCACTGTGAAAATTTGTGTGTCTTATTCCCTGTCTCTGTGCATTTGAAAATCACCATGATGTAGTCTTCTTTGAAAATATAGATTTGAGGAAAGAATGAATCTTAATATTTATGTTCTGGAGGAAAAGAAGGGTTTATGTAGTAATCTTCACATTTAAAGTTGATCATTTTCTTTTTTTATTTTATCAGATAAGGGTATTACATAAATTCAATTTCACAATTTAGTTTTACTATTTATGAAGTATCAGACCCCATGGCATATTTTTGAGTGGTTTTTTTTTGTTAATATAATTATTTTATTTTTGCCCTTACGTGATTCTTACTTAGTAGAAAGTAGCAAATTTCATAGAATCACACAGAATCACAAAATCAGCTAGGTTGGAAAAGACCTCTGAGATCATCAAGTCCAACCTGTGACCCAACACCACCTTGTCAACTAGACCATGGCTCTAGGTGCCACATCCAATCTCTTCTTAAATACCTTCAGGGACAGTGAATCCACCACCTCCCTCCACAGCCTGGTCCAATGTCTGATCACTCTCTCCATAAAGAATTTCTTCGTAATGTCTGTCCTAAACCTCCCCTGGCGCATCTTAAAACTGCCCTCTTGTCCTACTGATAGCTGCCTGGGAGAAGATACCAGCCCCACCTGGCTACAACTTCCTTTCAGGTAGTTGTAGAGAGTGATAAGGTCTCCCTTGAGCCTCCTGTTCTCCAGGCTAAACATCCCCAGCTCCTCATAGGGCTTGTGTTACAGTCCCTTCACCAGCCTCATTGCCCTTTGGACCTGCTCCAGCACCTCAATATCCTTCCTGAACTAAAGGGCCCAGAACTGGACACAGTACTCAAGGTGCGGCCTAATTAGTGCCAAGTACAGGGGCAGAATCACTTCCTTGGTCCTGCTGGCCACACTGTTCCTGATCCAGGCCAGGATGCCATTGGCCTTCTTGGCCACCTCAGCACTCTGCTGGCTCCTGTTCAGCTTCATGTCAGTCAGAACCCCCAGGTCCCTTTCTACCTGGTCGCTCTCCAGCCACTCTGTCCCCAGCTTGTAGTTGGGGTTTTTGTGGCCAAAGTGGCACTTGGTCTTGTTAAGCATCGTACCATTGGATTCAGCCCATCTATCCATCTTGTCTAGGTCCCTCTGCAGAGCCCTCCTACCCTCCAGCAGATTGACACTCCCCCCACACTTGGTGTCATCTGCAAATTTGCTAATGGTGGACTCAATCCCCTCATCCAGTTCATCATTGAAGATATTAAACAGGACTGGGCCCAACACTGATCCCTGGGGGACACCACTAGTGACTGGCCACCAACTGGATGGAGAACCATTCACCACCACTCTGGACCTGGGCCTCCAGCCAGTTCTTAACCCAGCAGAGAGTGCCCCTGTCCAAGCTGTGGGCTTCCAGCTTTTCCAGAAGTATGGCATGGGAGATGGTATCAAAGGCTTTGCTGAAGTCCAGGTAAACTACATCCACAGCCTTCCCCTCATTCACCAGATGGGTCACCTGGTCATAAAAGGAGATCAGGTTGGTCAGACAGGACCTGCCCCTGTTAAATCCATACTGGCTGGCTCTGATCCCCTGTCTGTCTTATAGGTGCCATGTGATCGCACTGAAGATGATCTGTTCCATAACCTTGCCAGGCACTGAGGTCGGGCTGACCAGCCTGTAGTTTCCCAGGTCTTCCTTCCAGCCCTTCTTGTGGATGGCTGTCACACTGGCCAACTTCCATTCGTGTGGGACTTTCAATAGTGATCCAGGACTGTTGATAAATGACGGAGAGCAGCTTGATGAGCTCCCTCATCGCTCTGGGATGGATCCCGTCTGGTTCCACTGACTTATGAGGATCCAAGTGGCTCAGCAGGTCACTAACTTCCTCCTGGATTACAGGGGGGTTGTTCAGCTCCCCATCCTTGTCTACCAGCTCAGGAGGCCAGTTGTCCTGAGGATGACCTGTCTTGTTGAAAACTGAGGCAAACAAGGTGTTAAGTACTCAACCTTGTCTTTGGTAATTATGTTCCCCTTCATTTCACTGAGACTGTGATGGTAATGTCTTTAGCTCCGTAATTTAGAATACCTGGAAAAATCTTGTGAACTGTTTTGTAAATATACTTTCTTACATTTGACTCCAATGTGTAAAATATATTGTATAGTTTAATCAATTTTCTTTCTCATGGAAATCTCAAACATTAATTTCCTTGGGTTTTTTAGTAGTTTGTGATTAGTTCTCCAGTATTTTTTTAAAAAGAAATAGTTAATCTTATTAGTGTTATATTTAGGCTATATAGGATACTGTTAAAAAAAGCTAAAAATGAAAACAAACCTTAGCTCATTTCAGTTTTTACATGTATGCTTATCCATAAAAAGAAAGGAATAGTTCTGTTTTGTAACCCTGGCAAACTCAAAATATTTCCAAATTTTTAAATGTGTTTCTATGTACTTGAGGTTCTTTGCCCTAAATTTTGCTTTGATAGCACACTGTAAACTCCCAGAGACCGGAGTTGTGTCCTCTGTATTTTTTACGTAGTGTCAAGCATCTGCACTCTCATGAAGGAAGCTTCTGCTGGGAAAAAAATAATCTATGTTTTGCTATTATCTATAGACCAATTTTCTAAGCAGAATAAGCAAATTTTTCAAAAGGATTTAGTTGGATTTTTTTCTTCTTTTTCCAAAATAACTACGCTTATATTGTTTTTGACAGTATAATAGTTGATTGAGTGTAATTAATTCTATTCCCCATATTTTAAGGGTGATCTAATCCTGGAGCAAGTTGCCCAGGTGGGTTATGGAGTCTCCATCCCTGGAGATAGTTAAAACTCAACTGGACACAGCTCCTAACAGCCTGCTTTGGATGAGAGGTCGGACGAGACAACCTCCAAAGCTCTGTTCCAACCTCAACCATTCCATGATTCTGTAAATTGTGTAGTTACCTTGTTGAGACTCTTTCATTGTAGAAGAGCTTTGAAATGCCAGTTCAGATGTTTCAAATGGTAATTGAGATTGACCAGTTTTTATCCCTATCTTGAATTAAAAAGCACATGAACAGAAGCAGCATAAAATGACTGACCACATGAAATGTTTTAAGACTAAACAATTGAATACATACAGAGTGCTATGCTGAGTAAATGACAGTTTTTACAGAATGGAAAGACAGTACACAGTACCAGTATGCAAGCTGTCTATTTTTTCAGTCTCCCTTGAAATGCTATGTAAGTAGATACTGCAATAAATATTAACTGCATTAGTTAAATATTTTTAATTTTTATGCATAAACTTGATTGCCTTAGGAATTGCTTTTGTATTAATCATTCATAGTTCTGAAATGAATGAAATAACTATACCTTATAAGAGATTTTTTGTGTTAAATTTTAAATGAGTCATGGAAATATTAGGTGGTTTACTGGGAAGTTAAGGTGTTGAAGCTAAGAACAAAAGTAAGGTATTGGGGTTTTTTTTTGAGTTTGATTTTGAAAAGTAGTCTTGAGTAGTTCTGTACAGAATTTAGTTCTAAGTCTGATATACTGAGAGTTACTGTAGCCAGCTGTTTTACCTTGGTAATATAGAAAGTTAGCTGGGCTGGTAAACTAAAACTTGAGCTTGTGTTTTAGCCTCTCCGTTTCATAGTCCTTCACTAACAGTTGTCAGTTTTAGTGTTTTGAGAACAGGGTTGGTTTAGGCATTGGCACCCTTGATTTTTGGTTGTGGGTGTTACTGAAACAGTGCAAGTGGAAAACAGATTTCTGATACCATCTCAGTAGAAATTTGTTTGAACCTGTCACAAGTGGAAAAGAGATTGGTGATATCATCTCAATAGCAATTTGTTTGAACATACCCCCAGAGCTCTTTAGGATTTTAGAACCTTGTCGTTAGGTTCTAAATTCCATAGAGTTGTTGTGTATGCCAAGTATATTGAAAGTCACTGATTATACCCATGGAAAAGGTCTGGTTCATTACATATGCCCAAATAATTATAAGGATGCTAACAAATCATTCTAGATTAATGATTCCTATATGAAATTAAAACCAGAAATTAAAAATATGAGATAAAAACCTAACACTGCTTTTGGTAATCTGTACTTTTTTTTACTCCTACTTGCACACTTCAAAGATGGAAGAAAAGGGATGATTAAATTTATTAGTAGTCTGTGCAGGGATTGATTTGTTTTCTCAAGCTTGTGTTGAACTCAGATACAAAAATTAGTAAGTTAGTACAAAAATTGCAGGTGTCAGGGTGTGCATGGGAATAGGTTAAGAGGAGCCAGAGCTTGTCTTAATTTTTTATTTTGTATTTTTGTACAATAAAATTTAAATTTCAACTGTGCTTTTTATTTGTGTTCAGTTTTTCAATGGGACAAGAGACAGAGTTCAGCTGCATTGATTTATGAGTGAATAGCATGTCCCATTCAGTTCATCCTATGGCTAATGTCACAGACAAATGCTGGAGGAATTCAGTGCTCTTTAACTCAGTTTTCATAAGCTGCAGTTGCTCATAGCTGAGATAAAGGGACTGATCTAGTTCTGAATGAAGGTAAGGGATTGATAAACAGGAGTATTTGTTGGGTTTTGTAGGGTCCATGTTAATAATAATTTCATCACCCTTATACAGACTTTGCAAATTATGTTTTATTTCAAATTAGAGATGATCAACAAACATTATGTTCTTTGGAACATAATGAAAGAAAAATTTAAATTGACTGTTCACGTACTTATATATGCAAAATCATCTACATTATGCAGATGTCTAAAAGCAGAAGCAGAACTAGATTTGAGAGGAAACCTGTGTTGTATTCCGATATCAACAGCAACTTAGATCACATTGGTATCACATCAGAATAATGTTTTAGAGCCTCTACCAATTTAAAAATCAAATTGATGCTAGATTTGTATAGAACAACACATTTGACTGACAGAAAAGGCTGTTATAGATGGATGTGATGTTCTATCCTTGTCTAACAAGGGTTTTGACTGACAGTTTAACAATAGTACACTTTCTATCCCATATATTCTAAATGATTATTATTACAATACAAAACATTTTTGCACTTGCTGTATATAGATAACATGTACACTTTTTGTGTAATAACATTCAAGAAGAGAAGGTTTCTTTTATGTCTTAAAGATGATGACAATTAATGAAGGCTCCATCTGACGCTTATAACCAATGTCAAGGATTGCTATTGTGGTGCATGGTAATGTAAAAACTATCGAGGTACTTAGTTCCCAGTGAAAGATCAGCATAACTCTTGACACATGCTATATGGTGGATGAAATAAATCTCTTTGGAGAGCAATAGAAATATTTCCTAAACTGAAGAGCACCCTTTCTATTTTATAATCCCTCTTTTCAGCTTTGCAGTTCTTTGCATCACTGTAAAATGCAGTTTTAATCTGAAAAATAACTGTGTAAAGTGGCACCTATTAATGCAACAAATATGCTTTCTGTGCTTTGCAGTCAACATTTTTCTGAAATGAGACCTAAGATTCTTCTTCAGAACAATAGGTCAAGATAAGGAAGCTACGCAGTTTTTTTTATTTGTGTCTCTCATTCATTTTGGGGAGACCATCCTTTGGTAAGTATTCTCCTCATTTTAAAATTTCCAGTTTGAATTCTTGGCATCCTTTGTCCCTTTAGATCTTCACAGCACTGTAGGAAGTGTCTCCCATTTTGTGTAGGTTTTCACAAGGGCAGGAACAGTACAGTGTGACTGCATTATATTTGATGATAATAAAAAGATCAACATTAAATTCTAAACTCTTCTGTAAACTTCATTTTAGTGTTACATGCAACTAAGGAAGAAGGTATACTATTATATGAACCTCCCAACGATGAAAAATATAGAAAAAATTGAATAGAAAAAAATGGGGCCACATTCATCAAAACGCATCTTCCTCTTATCTTTCTGATTATCTAGATGAGGAAAACATGATAAATAGAAAGATTGCTTTTACAATATGGATTTTTTTTTAAATTGGCTTACTGTGAAGGATATTTTTCTTAAATGACTTTGTATTTGGTAAGGGAATTTAATAGATTAGTTTTTTCACCTCATTATGTATGATCAGTGGGATCTTGGTATCTTACGTTTATTCAGCAAGATTTTATTTGTCTGTGAAAGGACAAATTCAGTATATGTTTTATCCAACAACAGGATTATTTATTGGCTTGGGACAGTGATGGTGATATTTTCTGCAAAGCACTAAAAAGATCTTTAAACAATATTTACCCTGTTACTGGTGGTGCCACCTCAACTGTATGTCAGTTTTAGATAGAATACCACTGCTTCTCTAGCAGTGATTTATGATATGAAGGAAGGGATAAAAGTAATCTGGGAAATAATATTATCCAGTTAGAAAACGATCACTCAGAAAAATTGTAGTTTTATCAATATAAACTGCTAAGTTTTAAAGTGAAGCCAACTAAAAAAAAATCCATGATGTGGAATTATATTGATCTTCACATAGGTCATTGTGATAATACAAACATCTGGTACTTAATTTGAGAGAGCACTAACGATAATCATCTGTACAAGGGCCTACTCTAGAGGCTGTTAAAGCATATTCTTTACCGACCACTGAAAACTGGTTTGCAAACTCAGATTGAGTTCCGGTTTCTGAGCAGGATGTGTCATATTGGTACAGAACTGTACTCTACCCCCACTCAGCTGATATCATCTGTTTAACACAGTTTTTCTTTCTCTGACATCTTTCCTCATTTTGCTTAACCCATAACCTCACCTTACTTTGTGTCCTGACTTTGCGTATTGTCCTTCATGAGCAAATACAGGTCTAAAACTGTCTAATCTTAGTTTCTCCCCCTTCTGCTGTTTTTTCCCTCTGACCTTTTGTATCATTGTTCCAGTAGCAGTTTTCTGTCTAATCTACGTAATTTTCTTTGGTCTTTCTTGCCTCTTTTATGCTTCTCTCATCTGTGAACTCTCAGTGCTCAATTAGTGAAGGAACAAAAGGCGCAGAAGGAAATGTTCCCTTGCTGTCTATTCTTGTCTTTGGCATTGTAACAGACTGGAACAGAGGCAACTACAAAGGGCTGGG